GGCCATGTAAGTTCTTTGGTTTTATTCTGAGATGGTTGCTTCTGGAGGGTTCTGAGTGGAGTGCTGGCCTGATTTGACTTACCTTTTAAAGGGATCCCCTGGCTGGGTGCGGTGGCTCATGCCTGAAATCCCAGCACTTTGGGAGGCCGATGCAGGCGGATCATTTGAGGTCAAGAGTTCGAGTCCAGCCTGGCCAAGATGGTGAAACCCCGTCTCTATGAAAAAAAAAAAATTGCTGGGCATGGTGGCAGGCGCCTGTAATCCCAGCTACTTGGGAAGCTGAGGCAGGAGAACTGCTTGAACCTTGGAGGCGGAGGTTGCAGTGAGCCAAGATCACGCTACTGCACTCCAGCCTGGGTGACAGAGTAAGACTCCGTCTCAAAAAAATAAAAAATTAAAGAGATCCCCCTGCTTCTGTGTGGGAAATACGCTGAAGGGAGTGAAGGGGGAACCCAGGAGACCAATGAGGAGGTAGTTACTGAAATCCAGGTGAGAGCTGGTGGGAGCCTGGACAATGTGGTGGTGAAAGTGACAAGAAGAGGTCCAATTCTGTACCTGACTGTGTATTTTGAAGATGCAGCCCACAGGATTTCCTGACAGGTTAGGTGTGAGGTGTGAGTGGAAGGGAGGAGCCAAGGAAAGGTCCAAGGTTTTTGGACCAAGCAGGTGGAAGGATGGAGTTGCCATCAACTGAGATGGGGAGGACCTCTGGAGGAGCATGTTCCAGTGGGAGGCCAGGAGCTCAGCTTGCATAGGCTGCGTTTGCGATGCCTGTGGATATCCGAGTAGAGATGTGGACTAGGCAGTTAGATCTCCGAGGCTGGAGTTCGTGGGAGGTGAATGCGGGAGTTCTCAGTGGATGTATTGGAGGTGCTTTTAAGTTCATGAGTGTGGTCAGGATGCCCAACGATGCGAGTGCAGATGGAGAAGGGAAGAGGGCCAGGGACTAGCAGGTGCTGGAGGCGGGGAGAGGAAAGGAGACAGACTCTGGGGATACCACCTGGATGTCCTCCAGTTCAATTCAATTCTGACACTATCTACCTGGAGTGAGTGTCAGATTCCACAGGTGGAAAGCTCAGTCCCCCAAGACTAATGTCATCTCAGGCACCAGTCGCAAGTCTGGGCCTCTGGTGCTTCTGACCAAACAGCCGTAAATCAGGGGTTCCCACAACCTCCTCTTTATGTTTAATAATTTGCTAGAATGACTCACAGAACTCAGAAAGACAACCAGATGGAAGAGATTAATATGGAGCAGGACATACAGAGCTTCCAGGCTCTCTCCAGGGGTGACTCCCTCCCAGTACCCCCATGTGTTCACCAGCCCAGCTCTCTGAACCTGGTTTTTTGTTTGTTTGTTTGTTTGTTTTAACGGAGTTTTGCTCTGTTGCCCAGGCTGGAGTGCAGTGGCTCCATCTCAGCTCACTGCAACCTCTGCCTCCCGGGTTCAAGCAATTCTCCTGCATCAGCCTCCTGAGTAGCTGGGGTTAGAGGCGTGTGCCACCATACCCAGCTAATTTTTTTTTTTTTTTTAGACGGAGTTTTACTCTGTTGCCCAGGCTGGAGTGCATTGGCTTGATCTCGGCTCACTGCAACCTCTGCCTCCCGGGTTCAAGTGATTCTCTTGCCTCAGCCTCCCGAGTAGCTGGGGTTACAGGCGTGTACCACCACACCCAGCTAATTTTTATTTATTCATTTATTTATTTTTAGTAGAGACGGGGTTTCGCCATGTTGGCCAGGTTGGTCTCGAACTCCTACCCTCAGGTGACTAACCTGCCTCGACCTCCCAAAGTGCTAGGATTACAGATGTGAGCCACTGGTGCCTGGCCTCTTTTGGGTTTTTACAGAGGCTGCCTTACATAGGCATGTTTTTTGTTTTGTTTTGTTTTGTTTTTGTTGAGACAGAGTCTTGCTCTTTCGCCCAGCCTGAAGTGCAGGCGTGTTTTTGGGTCACTGCAACCTCTGCCTCCCGGGTTCAAGTGATTCTCCTGCCTCAGCCTCCTGTGTAGCTAGGATTACAGGCACGTGCCACCATGCCCAGCTAATTTTTGTATTTTTAGTAGAGATGGGGTTTCACCATGTTGGTCAGGCTGGTCTTGGACTCCTGACTTCATGATCCACCCGCCTCGGCCTCCCAAAGTGCTGGGATTACAGGCATGAGCCGCTGCGCCCGGCCACATAGGCATGATTGATTAAACCATTGGCCATTGGTGGTTAACCTAACCTTCAGCGGCTCTCTCCTTCCAGGAGGAGGTCGTGACGGGGGTGGGGCTGAAAATGGGAACCCTCAAGTTACGTGGTTATTCCCCTGGGAGCCCCATCCTCAGGGGATTTCCAAAAGTCACCTCATTAACATAAAACCAGGTGTGGTTGAAAGAGGCTTGGAATGAACAAAATTTATGCCATTTCGTCTTTATTGCTTCCGGTCTATTTCGGGAACTGGATGCAAAAATCTCAACGTTGTAACTCTTCTTACCCTTATCACTTAGGAAGTTACAAGGGCTTTAGGAGCTCTAGCCAGGAACCGGGATGAAGACCAAATATATATTTCTTATTATATCATAACACTGCATTGTGCGAGGTGTTAATCATTCCAAAGAAAACACATAGGGGCTCCGTTCTCAAGGAACTCACACGTAGACACAGCAAGTCAAGAAGTGGGGAGAGACACTGCCAGGACCAGGTGCCAGAACATGAAGGAGGGAGGCCCACAGGCACTGGCCAAGGAAGGCTTTGCAGAGTAGGAGACCGGAGCTGAGGGTGGAAGGATGGAGTTTTGCTGGGTCTGTGGCTTCATGGGGCCAGGGTGCAGTGAATATTAAGGCATTGCTGGCTGTCAGGACTGCCTCTGGAGAGATGAGAGCTCCGGGGACCTTGGGTTCAACTGGAGGTTTAGTAGAGTTGGGGCAAGGAAATAGTGAGGCTAGCTAGGGAGTAAGTAGAGGTCAGATCACAAAAGACCTTGTTAGGCTGGGTGTGGTGGCTCACACCTGTAATCCCAGCACTTGGGAGGCTGTGGCGGGTGGATCCTGAGGTCAGGAGTTTGAGACCAGCCTGGCCAAGAGATGGTGAAACCCTGTCTCTACTAAAAATACAAAAATTAGCCAGGCGTGGTGGTGGGTGCCTGTAATCCCAGCTACTCATTAGACTGAGGCAGGAGAATCGCTTGAACCCGGGGGGCAGAGGTTGCAGTGAGCCGAGATCACGCTACCGCACTCCAGCCTGGTTGACAGAGTGAGACTCCGTCTCGAAAAAGAAAACAGAAAAGATCTTCTTAACCAACCCAGGGATGGGGAGGTACAGAAGGAGCATGGGCTTTGAAATCAGCTCTGTGAGTTTAGGCAAGTTATTTAATGTTCAGATTTGATTTTCTTCTCAGTAAAATGGCACTAAAAACAAGCCCCTTGCTGGGAAGTTGGTGAGAATTCAGAGGTAACAGGCATGGGGGTGCTGAGACAGAGTTGGCCTTTGACACGGTTGGTGAGCAGCATCACTTTATCTTAGAGGCTGGAGTGGCATTGACAAATTTTAAATGCAGGAAGGGTGGCTGGATGGGTAGATGGGTGGATGGGTGGATGGATGGGTGCATGGGTGGGTGGATGAATAGATGGATGATGGGGGGCTGGGTAGATGGATGGGTGGAGGGATGAGTGTATGGGTGGATAGATGGATTAGTAAATGAATGCCGTCAAGAAATACGAGATTAATGCCAGCATGGCTATAAGAGGGAAATTGTCCTAGGGTGAACCAAAGAGGAGACGATGAAATGAGGCCTGACTGAGACTGGGAAGGCATGAGACTCATCATCCTTCCTTGGAGACCTAAAGATTCATGCCGCTAGTTTGGTGTCTCCTATGCTTCTGTCATCTGTCTGTCTCTGGTCTCTCTCTGCTTCTGTTTCTCACCCTTTTTATCTTTCTGACTCTCTTTGTCTCTCTTCCTTTTTTAGTCCTCTGCTCGTGCCGCCAGGCTGAGTGCAATGGCCGGATCTCAGCTCACTGCAAGCTCCGCCTCCCGGGTCACGCCATTCTCCTGCCTCAGCCTCCCAAGTAGCTGGACTACAGGCGCCCGCCACCCACGCCCGGCTAGTTTTTGTATTTTTTAGTAAGAACGGGTGTTCACCCGTGTTAGCCAGGATGGTCTCGATCTCCTGACCTCATGATCCGCCCGCTCTCGGCTCCCAAAGTGCTGGGATTGAACAGGCTTGAGCCACCGCGCCCCG